AGTACAATATGAAATAAAATTAATGAATGAGCATTAATATAGCTATATAATTAAATTATAGATATATTAATTATACATAATAATTAATATATATTAACTATAAATAATTATGATAGAATTGTATATAATAACTTTTAAATACGATAATAATTATAATACCTATTAATTTTACAATATTAAATACAATTTGAAATTATCATGATATATATACGAACATATTTAACTGTGTAATATGTAAAATCTTGACACATAAACAACATTAAGTAAATAACATTATAATTAATACATTAATTATCATATATAAAATATATAATCATATATAATTAAATAATAGAAATAGTAGGATAAGACAAAACTGTAAAATAAAATGTAAAAAAAATGAGTAAAATAAATTAATTACAATAAAAGCACAGATTTTGATTTAGAAAATCGTTTATTTGAAAACAATTCAAGAAATTGTGAGCTTGCACGTACTTACAATTTCATTCATCACAAACAATGATTTTTACACTTTCATGATTTATTCACTTAATGTCCTCAATCTTAACTCCAAATAACATTTTTTAAGCTCATTTATAAATATATCTCCACAAAATTTTTGAATCTTTACAATAAAAATTTAGTACTTATTTGTAAGCGCTTTATTTCTTCTTAAGGGATTAAGATTTTAGAAAGCCATTCCAATATGTCAATTTACGGCAATAATGTCATTTCTTTAAATTAAAATTCTTATTTATAAATCTCACGGGATTCGAATCAATACAATATTTGTAATTGAAAATTTTAATTATTATAAAAAATGTATTTCTTAATTTAAAAATTTTTCTCTGATAATTAAATATAATTATATTTGCTTTAAATCCACAAATTTTGCCAAATGATTAGCATACTTAAAGAAATCACAGAACCATTATTAATGATTAATAATTATATATATATATATATATATATATATACACATATACATATATATGTATATGCTATTAGATCTGAAAAAAATATTTTATCTTAACAATTTTATTTTAACAATGCATTGATATTTTTAAAGCAATTATACATGACAAATTTATACTTTTTCAATATAAATTTATGATTTTATATAAGTGAAAATATTTTTCGTTCATATATAATTCTGCATATATATATATATATTTATTTATTTTTTTTTTTTTTTTTTTTTAAATTGAAAGCATAGATTGTAAAGATTTTTTTTTGTACGAATGATGAAATTATAAACGATAATTGTCAGGGCAAAATTTTGTTTTTAATATTTGCTCGAGATTGAAAAAAGTATTTTAATTGTATTCCTTTAATATTCGTAATAATAAGATAATAAAATGTATAAATAGAATTCTTTTAACCTTCTATTGTCCTTTAAACCCTTAAGATAATCGTAATAAAAAAATTTTATTTTTGTACTAGTTGACTTATAAAAATCGAGGATATTAAGTAATACGTATTTTTTTTATCGTATTATGAAAATTGAAATCATCGATACTTTATTTAACGAATAAAATACGCTTTTTTTATATATAAAGCTATGATATATAAAAATTGCTTACTAAATAAATAGTCGAAGTTGGTTTAAATTTGAAAAATTCGTAAAAATGTGTCGGTAAGAATTTTTCCGTTCTTGCAATACGTTACTCTTTGCACCTGAAAATGTATCAGCTTATATATGTATGTATATACATTTTATAAAATAGAATAGCATTAATAAAATGCATATATAGCATATTAATTAATAGAGATCATGATAAAACTATAAGAGTAATCTTCTACTATTAATGATTACGTAAAATTTTTAAATTACTTGATATAAACTGATATTGATTTCTTTATAATTATGAGGTTTAGACAATATAATTAATTATCTATAATGTATAAATGCGGTATTGTGTTACTTCTAATGTACAGAAAAATAATATCTGAATTTGTATAACAGCAAGGCAATTAAATCATATTTAATACTTTTATAACATATACAAAACATTTTCAATAATATAATAAACTTAAAAATAATATTCGAGTAAACCAAGTATCACAAATATGTTGTCTGCTCAGTATTTTAGTGTATGTTTATAATCCTTTAACTTTTAAGTATTCTATCTTCGATGTTTATCGCAAGTAAAACTGGTACCAAGGAAAATCTTAAAAAAAAAAAAAAAGTTCACTTATTAAGCTTGATTGTACTGTACATTCATCTGTATTTATAATATAAAAACCTATCGCACCATCATGTTATTATGGTAAATGATTTATACTTTTTTTTTTTTTTTTTACATAAATTATTACATTCTACACTACCCTGCTTTATGCACTTAATTTGTAAAAAATAATACTATCTTATCTCATTTCGTATATAACATATATCAGAAGAAGAATAATGTAGCAAAAATCATTGTACGAAATGATTGAAATAACAATAGTAAATACAAAAAAGTTACTGATTCGCAATAATAGTTAATTAAACATAATAAAGTCTTATAAATATTGAGGAATGGTTAATTGGAATATATTATATTCAACTTGATGTTGGATATATATATATATATAGTTTTTATTTAAATTAGTTATTAATAATTAAACTGTTTGCATTTGAGTTAAACATTAATTTTAATTTGAAATCAAATAAATTTTTCCTTTTGTCTTTGAATATAAATAAATATAATTCAGAATTAGCCAAGTAAATACACAAGATACGCGTAAAAAAAGCAACGAAAATATCTGAAAATTCCTTACAAGTAACTTAAGTAATTATATAATTTACAAATTACACAATAAAATTAACATTAGACTCTTAATATCATTTAATTTCAATTATAGTTACAATTTTTCAAATAATTTTAATAAACCATTCCTAATTTACATTGCAATGGCAATTTTGCAAGAGAGCAAACATATAATTATTACGTGCGCTTATCAGATAGGCGAAAGCTAGTGTGTACCATTAATATTGTCCAAATGAGTATAATTTGTAATCTATATGTATGTTTTCAAACAGTACGCAAAATACATATTTTTAGCTGTATAACTTTCTGTTAAATCAATTTCCTTTTCCTCACCGGGAAACTTCAATATTTATTCACTTGTCGCCTGATTAATTTATTAAACGACAAGACACTGTGTGCATGCCATAAAACATGGATGATTCACATTATATGCATAAATTGCATATTTATGTACGCTCAATCTAATTTGAGTGATGTTTTTTGCGCACAATACAGAAGCTTAAATTACAATCGATCTAGAAATTTACATAAGTACCAAATGAACAAATGTTGAACTCGCATCTAAGAAATCATTTTTTGTTAATTAAAAAAAGTATAAAAAGTTTCTTTATTGAACGAGTGTGTTTCAACAATTATTTTTTAATTGATTTTGTTTGATTATCATTGTTTATCTAAATAATTTTTTGAATTATGTTAAGAATCGAATAATATTAGTAGAATGTAAATAATTTAAATATCACAAAATAAAAATAGTTTTTAAATATATATATATATATAGGTATGTATATGTATGTATATTGTCTTAGAAAATTGTAATTATAAATATAAAGCATTTAAATATTAAGAAGACTAAAACAAAAAGATTACAAATAAAAGTAATTCTCATAAAAAATTAGTTAAAAAAGAAAGTCTAAAACTAATTATTTTTAATTAAATCAATGTACGTTCACGGAGTTCTTAGTAAGTATAAATATTTTCATAAAGGTAATTTACAAATTTACTATTTTTGTTCATTTTACTCTTTACAATCTTTTAATTTTAATATGTGTATTTTAATATCTTTGAAAAATTTAATTTTCTGATACTTGATATGACAAAAATTAGATTATGAGTATTACCGTTATACACATATGCACTTAGATTTAACAAAAAAAAAAAGAAAAAAAAGTTAGTATTTTTATTATAATAATATAATGTATGGCTTTATAAAAACAGTATTTCATTAAAAATTCAATTTGTGAATAATTGTTGTCGAGTATCATGTTTTCGATATTTTTATTTAAAGAGTTTTTTCTTCGCACGCATAGGCACGCACATACATACACACACACATTCACACGCGCGCGCGCACACACACAAACATATACAGACACACATATATATACACATGCATATGTTTTCCTTGTAAATAAAAAAAAAAAAAAAAAAAAACTAATGTCTCGTAAATAATAATTTTTTAATAGTTTCTTAATTCTTTGACGATATTTCATTGAAATTTTCTAAATATCGCCTTTATTTATAATTAAGATTTAATCAGGGCGCACTTTTATTTCGCAAATTTTTACTATTTTTAAAATACAATATGTGCATTTTGTACTTCAAAGTAGTTTTTAGTAAATAGATAAATTTGTAAAAATTGTCATTGTTGAGCTTAATGTTGATAAATGTTCTTCAAAATGAATAATTAAGAACTAACTGCACTAAACCAAGAAATTCCTTTAATCCTAAAACCGTAAGAAATTCCTTGCCGATAATTTTTATGATTCATCGAGGATTTTCATTAGTCTTTTCCTCAATATTATTAAAAATGTGTGAAAAATATTTTTAAAAAATTATAAAATTATTGATTCAATGATTTGTCCGCTATCGTTATAACTGATTAAAATTGTGTAAAAAATCTACGATTACCAAGTACTTTCAAAATTCAGAATTTATCAATTTCATAGATAAATGATTACTTATTTATTATCATTTTATTTATTATATTATTATTATTAGTAGTAGTAGTATTATTATTATTATTAGTATTAGTATTAGTGTTAGTATTATTAGTATTATTATTATTATTATTAGTATTATTATTAGTATTATTATTATTATTATTATTATTATTATTAGTATTATTATTATTATTATTATTATTATTATTATTATTATTATTATCGTTATTTTTCACAAGAATTAGGCTCACCAAGGAATCTAGAAACGAGCAATTATATGAATTAAAACAGAACAGCGACTCCTGTTACCCAATTAGCGATCAAAATTGATAAAATGTAACACTTGACTATAAGTTAATATGACATGACTCGAAGCGATAAAAAGCTACTAGAATATTTCATAGATTTATTTTCCCCTACGATCCGCTCACTGCCGGACTTGTCTCAGTCGATTGTCCATCTCTATTCACTTGTCGCGCTCTTTATTTGTCAGGGTGAGTTTTCTGACACGCCTACACCTGCCTGCAGTTGCTGCTCCGGCTTTTCTCTCGCCACTGAATGCCGCTGAAAACCATCGGGCATCTGGGGCTGTATGTCGCAGATCTTGGTCTCGCCATTGTCCATCATCGACTGGACGGTCGTCAGTGTGCTCCACCAATTCGAGAAGGCGCCCTTTGCTTGTGATATTGCACCACCTGCAATCATACGAGGGCCCTTTGACAAAAATCAGATAATAAATAGGAAATGTCCTTCAGAGCGTGTGACGTCAATCGATAATCTATAATTCAATCCAGGATAGTGAAAATAATATATAAGGCGATCCTTCTAATACTTAGCGATTTAATACAATAGAAAGTGATTTAATACAAAAGAAAGTATCTCGATAAACGAGAAAAATGAAATGTTTCTCAATTAGCAGTGAGCGATGCACTTGGTCGCGCTTTAATTTGATTGCAAATCAATTATTACATCGAATATAAACCGCACAATGAAACAAGTGTCGACATTTTTATTCAATACAAATATCATTCCGAAGCAATATCGATTATGGCCAAACGATTAGTAAAATATAAAATATCATACATATAAATGATATAATTGTCTTTATAACGGCTTGTAGTTACTTTACGGGCGAAAATGTTTTCGTTTTCTTCGCTGCTCGATAACATTCGTTATTATTATCATCCATTGGACGGGATTTGGACGGGATTTGGACGATTAAAAGGTGTGTGTGTGTGTGTGTGTGTGTGCGTGCGTGCGCGCGCGCGATATCAAAAATTAGGCTTTGCTTACCCACGGCTTTTCCTGTGGTAGCCACAGCTCGTCCCGTCGATGCCATCGCCTGATTAAGCTTCCGTCCACCCTCCGTGTTTTGCATCGTACTGAAAAATACAATTATTTATTTATTCATTTACTTATTTAATGGCTTTGTATTGAAAATCTTTGTTTATTAATTGGTTTGTTAATTATTTTCCTAATTATCCGCATAATTCGTAATGAGAATCGCAAGCGGAATGAAACAATTTAATATTAAACATATTATAAAATGTCAAGGTGCGTGCATGGCTGATAAGATTTTTAATTGATTTAGTGATCGTATTGGCCAGTTATTCAGTATTATTAATGCCAGTTATTAGTAATGCCAAGTTCTTCATTTACTATGAAATTAATGTGACAATGTTACTAACGAACATCGGTACTAACATCGCTGATAATTATTCGACTTTATTCGCCAATTTCTACTAAATAAACTAGCCAATCCACTATATATTTACTCCTTTACTTCAATTTCCCTCTTAAGCTCGGCTTACTTGACTATTCGCGCAACTAGCGATGAGCGAAAGGAAAGCCACTTACGCCTAGGGGACAGTGTGCGAATACTGTATCTTACTGGGATAATCGGAGCTTCATGTCCTGCACCGAAAGTTGTCCGGCAAAAGGATGCCCGGGCTCCACGCAGTTGATCTCCATGTTGCCCAAACTCGACCAGATCTTGAAGTTGTTGGTCATGCGCCAGGCATTTATGAAGGCGGTATTGTAGTGATCGGTTTGTCTCGCGTCCTGCTGCAGCGACGTCCTCAGCAGACAGAGAAGATAGACCCGGAACTGCGTACGTATCCACTCGTCGCCGCCCTCCCACCCGACCCCGTCGAAGAAGCTGTCCTTCTTTGGCTCGGAGACGTGGCGCACGACGTAGTCGGCGAACCTCAGGTCTTCCGTCGTTAGATGCAGCTGTCTGCGCAGCTCTGGATCGTTTGCCTCGATTCGTGCGCTCTCAACCTACGATTTCCCGTCCCCCCGCCGATAAAGCATCTGTTTGTTATATCGCCCAATGCTCCTCGAAAGTTCTCACGAGCCCGACTTCCCGCAACTGCCGATGCCCGAGTTTTGCGTGATTTTTTTTTTTTTTTTTTTTTTTATAACGGACTGCGATCGAAATTCGTGATTTTTGTAAGGTAAGAACGTGTTAATGCCTTCGTAACGAATTTATGTAGATTAAGAATCGTTATTTTAACATTAATATCGATATCTAATGCGTACTTGTAAAAGCTTTAATGGGACCAAGAATTTTCTTCAAATTACAATGTAATCAGAATTGTTTAAGCTCTATTTCACTCTATTTTTCCCATCGGACATTCATTGGTATTGTAAGCACGACAAATGTCACCAATGCCACGATGACAATAAAATATTAATTTTTCATGAAAATTCAATTTTAACAATACTTACCTCGACAAGAACATCTATTAATTGTTTTTTCTGCTTAAATAAAACATTAGTTGCTCCTACAACGTAGCCTCTAACATTAACATCTCCTAGTAAATCTAAATATGGCAGAGATAGATATGGTAAGCACAAATAACCCTGGAAAAGAAAAGCTCACTGTACTTTCGTTGCAATAAATAAAAGGTAAATTTTGTTTATTATGGGGCAATTGTAATAGCGATTTTACATTATTTTGGCAAAATATAAAATTGGCAAAATTTTACGTATCATTCATCGGTTAGCTTAAGCGTAACGTTTCACAAAGTTTGCTTAGCCGACCGCAAAATTATCGGTTAAAATCTTTTATAAGATCAATGATAAAGAAACGCTAGGCATTTGGGCGATAATGTCAAGATAATGTAATACGTAATAATATCATTACATTTCTCACAAATGCCGTCATAAATATTATAATAAAAACTTGAAAAATTCTCGGCTATTGGATTAATCAAGGGAGCAGCCAATTATTATATAACAACTCGCAATGACAATAAAGCCAAGAAAATTAATGAATTACTTAACTAATCCAATAGCCAGTTGAAATTTGATCTTACAGTTAATAAAGTATTTTCTCGCCCCCCCCCATCCCCTCCCCTCCCCGCCCTCACTCTCCACCACCCCTTAAGCTACCGATAATGAGCAGCTGCTCGATCTTATTATAAATCTCGCATTCGAAATGATCGCTCGCGATGCTTGCCCACCTTCGTAAAAATACAGAGCGGCATGCCACACAGCTCCGGGTCTATGTTGGCGATCTGTGTCATGCTGCTCGTGACCCTCGCATCGGACAAGGCGTCGTTGCTCGTATCCCTCGGGAGGCTGTTCTCGGGCTCGCCGCTCGCCCCGACGTTTATCGCATTGACGCTGTTCACTCGGTGCACCGGATCGTTCGACGCTACTCGCACGCTCTCGAACATCTCGGTACAGTCCTCGGTAAGCTCGACGTCGATGCACTTTCCCTCCATCGTCTCGGCCGCTTTGTTATCGGTGAGGAGGTAGGAATTGTTGTCCGATATCCTTTTCGCGGTTACGTCCGAAAAGGCGCAGCCCAAGAAAGCATTACCATCTGTCAAATTGGAGTCGACGTTGTTTAGGGATTCATCCTCGAAGTTTGGTATTGGAGACATTGGTCTCGACGGCCTGAAACATTGAATTTTCTTTAATGTATTGTAAAAACAGAGCTGTCGATACTTTCAATTGTAGGGGCAATTTAATTGGCAGGAGGCGATTCCCGAGGTGATTAGCGAGACAATTCGATTGGCAAGGTAATCTTGATAATTACTTTTGAAACACGTTTAAAATGATAATTTCATTAATAATGATAATAAAGGGTGAATGTCAATAAATATTGTACTTGACACAGGCAGCTTGTTGCAGTCCAGTTTCTATCATTCCAGGAAATAGTGATAATAATGTGAGTATGGCTGAGCATAAAGGCTGTACGGGAGACTGATAAAATACGACTCTTTTCTCTAGAAGTAAAAGCTTAAATAATAATAAAGCTTTATGGCGAAATTGTAATATGAAATCTCTTGCTGATAAGCCTGCAAATGCAATGACAATAAACATATTAAGCTAATAGGTAATGTCAGAGAAGCTTAATCCAACTATTTACCGATAAAAACTTGTGGTGGCATCTGACTGTCACTCCTCATGCAAGAGTTTAAGTGATGATATGTTTCTTCTAATAACGATACCTTACTAAAGTCTCCTTCGTCAAAGTAGGCGTGCGTTATAAGAGCCATTTTAACCTGAATGTGTCCATAAAGGGGCATTATGCTTAAAACACAGACGGACTTTTGTACCGTTCCTCTTGTTATGTCGGATGTGCGATTCACTAGTTTCTACAACAAATACAAACAATGCCATAATGGTCGATAATAAGTTTTAACGCTAAATTGAAAGTACGATTATAGTAATTTTTACAGATCTTCATAGATAAGAAGATGATAAATCAGCTGATATTAAATTTTTTGTACTCGTCGTTAAAAAAGTCAGATTAATTTTATAACAAATAATTGTAATGGCATTCGTGTCAGCCATCCATCTTTATTATTTACCTCCACAGGAATTTGCTTAAAGCATGAAATGCCATAAATTGTACGGTTAGGATCATTAAGACTAGGAAGGTGAAAATAGACTGTATCTTCGTCATAATTATGAGATCCATCCGGTAAGGCAAGAGTTGGCAAGTATTTCCATCCTAGTGGACACTCGTTTGGTGCGCCAGGTACCAATGGTGGAAAAGAATATTCGACCTAAAAAGTTCAAAGAATATTTTAATCTAAATCATTTCAAGCTAACGAGCAATTTTTAAATTGTGATATAAAAATAGTATAAATTTGATTATATTATAATGATTATGTATGTCAGAGAGCTAAGGTTAAATGAAATATTAAAGAGACGCTTATGTCATTTATATAATAAACCGTATCAGATATCAAGAAGATTAAATAATTTGGCAAACTGTGCTCCGTGAAATGAATAAATTAAAATAGCGTAAATAGTAATTCACTGTTTGAAATTCTAATATTATTATCCGTTCCAGTGAGAAAATAACAAACGGAACTTTTTCAAAATATATAAAGCTCTTTATTGTCATTGCAATTGGTGCAATTTCAAATTTAGGTCAACTATTTTTATCTTTATTATTAGGCTAGTTGGGCTAAAATAATTTCAAATATATCGTTAAGGTTTAAGATAATTTTTGTTAGTCTGTCTGCCTTTATCCATTAATACGGATATCGTTTGTGCTTTTGTCATTCTTTGACAATTGCATTTCAATATTGCTACAAGTAACTCTCTCAATTAACAATATTGATTATTAATAACCATCGATATGTCGTATGAAATAGCTCCATATTCTTGCATTACATTAAAATAGATTAATTCGATGTTTGTCCAAAGAAGAAACTAGAAAAATTTAAAAGCCCTGCCGATGACACATCAATATTTACAATTAATATAAATTCGCTATTTGGAATGCGCATCGCACTGAATTTCCTCGAAGGAAACGTAATCAAACATTATTCTTATTTTTACATGTTTTTCAATATTTTCCTATCCTACAATCAATTCCCAATTTGACATCTCTAATAACAGGCACACAAATCTATAAAATCTAGGGATGCTAATGCTTTGTACAAATTGTGGGACAGAAATATCTACAAGTAATTTGACACTCGATCAAACTAATTTCGAAAAGATTGCCAACGTATGAGCAATGTCGTGCGATAAAAACTTTCACACAAACGGCCTTGAGAGCCCTTATCAAATACAATAAAAACAGGTGTCATTTAAGATTCTAAATGTAGATTTGAGCTGCAGGACGCAGGGAAATTTAAAAATGTTGACGACGCCGCGAGAGCAAGACAGCAATAAGTCACTATGCCTGCAAAAACGCTCCCATTATCGACTCACTTGGCACCCTTTCTTATGGTGAAATCCGACAACGATCACGTGAAGAATTGGCCCGACGGATTCTGCCATTTCCATCCCCTTTCACGACCTCGCTGAAGCGTATGCTCGGCGCAATTTTCGCTCCGTTTCCCCCTATACGCGCGCACTACTTTTCTGACTCACGAGTCTACTTAATCATCAACAGATTTTTAAAAACATCATCATTACACGGGATACAAAGAGCGAGGCTCTCGTGATATTAACACCCCTTTTTCTCCTCGTGCTCCGTGGTGGAGACACTCGCACAATCGTTCGCAGCTCGTTAAATTGCTGCGATAGCAGACGAACTGACATGCGCTGATCAGCCCGCCATAATGGATTCTTATGGTCCATTCGTCAATTAGAATGTGACGGAGGCTTACCGATCTGACGAACTGTCACGATTACCGTAAGCGCGCGAGCAGCTTTTGAGAATTAATAATTCGCCAACGGTATGAGAGAGAGAGAGAGAGAGGAGAGCTCGCACGCTCTTTTCGCATAAAGCTCCGTCGTTCAAGCATAATTTTGATCGATACATTTATTAATTGATAATCTTATAATTCAATGCAGCTCCCCCACACGCGTTTTTCGAAATAAAACTTGCTCCTCGATTTCATCTCATACATCCATCTCGATTCGATCTCGGACTATTATACCATTCATGAAAAACATTGTTGTAAAGCCATGAATTGCTCGAGATTTACATTGAAACATGTTGCGAGGATATGTCAGTTAAATATTTCATGGAAAAGCGAGTCGTCCTAGTGGCAACAACATTAACGTTCATTTTAATTCGAATAGTTCAAGAGATATTCAACGTCGAGCATTAACGGGGAGAACATTTCGATAATAATTACGGTTGGCTACAGTGATTGAAAAAAATTAGCGAACATATTTATAACGAAATTGCTTTCTTATTCAAATTCCTTAAATATTTCTAATTTATTCTGTTTTGTTTTTGTTTTTGTTTTTGTTTTTGTTTTTTTTCTACAAATTCTACAATAGAATGATCTTGTCTTTATGTGCTGCTGTAATAATACACACATTATTTATTTATTTATTTATTAGAAATCTACATACAGTGACACGAAAGACGAGGTAATGAGTACTTGTTTGTTATAGATAATAAATCAAAATAGACGAAACAGTTATTCCCTCGAAAATAGATGATATTTATTTGTTATAATCTTTAATTAAAGCCAGTACGCGCGCGCGCGCGCGCGTGTGTGTGTGTGTGTGCGCGTGCGTGCGTGCGTGCGTGCGTGCGTGCGTGCGTGCGTGCGTGCGTGCGTGCGTGTGTGTGTGTGTATTCAGACGATTAAAATTAACGATAGAAAAATTAATTGAAACAAGGGATAGAATGTTGACATCGTATATTCTACTTTTATTGTCGTAATGAAATAAGCGATTAGGAAAAGGTATAAAGAAAATTTTGTTCCCAATGAATTCGAGAGGAACAATGTTAGAAGCCCAAGATAAAATAACATAAATGAGCAGAGTTGGTCCTCTTGTCTTAATTAATATTATCTTTTAGTTTACCGATTATACATTTTTAACTGCCTGATAATGGGAATGTCAACTGTCAATTTACTGAATGTTTGGCTTGCAAAAGAGCTTTTTATTATTTATTTTTTTTTTTTTTTTTTTTTTTCTATTTCCTTAGCTTTCTCATTGCAAAGGATAGGATAAATTTTATTTTTCACCATGATCATAATCCAGATAAAGATGAACCTGGAAATGCTTGGACGCAATGATACGTTCTAGTCAATCTTTTTACTGCCATACTCTTTTTAATTATCTATCTCTTGAAAAGAAATATTTGTTGAATAATAATATTTGCTAAGATATTTATTTGTAGACATTTGTGAATATACACTTTGTTGAATTTGTAATGGACTCGAATATTGTTTTTTCTTTTTTGAAACTTTGTTCGATACGTTTCTATTTACGTAGAATCTGTACCCTCAAATCCAAATGATCGCGTACGAGTTTCGGTCTCATACTTGTTTCCTATAATTATATTATCTCATTCGGTTCTAGTTTACAGAAAAGTATGCCAAAGGTTCTTCCGTGAGTTTCAAAAGTATTTGCAAAGTCTATTCGATTAATGTAATAATTGACTTTAAATTGTAGCCACATTAGCGATTAATACAATAAACAAAGAATTCATCAAAATATTAATGAATGCTTAGGTATAATTCGATAGAAAATGTATATTGATTTGGTAATTCTATATTCAAATTTACGTAGAAATAGAAAGTTTTTTTTATTGTTATATTTCATTACTATTATTATTATTATTATTATTATTACTTTTGTATAGAAAATCGTTAACAACTTACAGAGATTGAATGACACGTTAATTTTTCATTTGATAAGTTTGATAATGATCATTTGATAATGAATTTTAACGGCTAATCAGCTCAATGAATAAACACTTGAAATTATCAAACGTATAGAATTATTTGTCAATTTATGAGAGTTATTATATATATATATATATATATATATATATATATGTAATTATATGAATTTGAAATGATCAAATTATTTATCGCTTAGTTCTAAAGATTATATTAATTAGCGGCTCGTTTCTTGATTTATACACTTTATACACTCGTTTATTTATTATGTATTATGTTATCGATAGTATCAATTACTTTCAAGTGCAACCAATAATTTCGGAGCAGAGAGTAGCGATTACGCCGGGGTGATGAAATTGAAATAGTCGAAAAGTGTCAATGCCTTGATAAAGCCAAAGGTGATTAATTTCCATGTTATTTATTTAGGTTTTTTTTTTTTTGTCATAAATAAAGCTAGAATATGAACATTTGACGGCTCGGCAGATAATAATAGAATATTTCGCCTCGGAACATACCTGCGCGACCACTTATTACATATGCCTATTACTAACATTTCTTACGTTCTGTTATTTACGTAGCTTATTTAGCATTTATAGGACGAATTTGTAGGAATTTCTGCGAGCGAATGTAAGAGGAGTTTTGTACATAAGAGCATAGATGTCGCATACTAGGTTTTCTAACGTTCGACAATGCCGCTTTCTATGGTTTCTCCAACGGATTCGCTTTTTCTACACCACACCATACATACGCGCACACACACACATCGTAGGTACGTGAGAGGTATAACGGTTGATAAAACTTGCCATAGGAGGGGAAAGTATCGGAGTCACGATATCCGCTCTGTTGGTTTATTTTGTGCCTCGGGAAGTATATTTTTCGTCTTTTATAACTCGCTAGCCGTTATCAATTTATATAAGGAATATATCTGTAAGATTATGCACTTGTTTCTTCCAAATGGAAGCTTCCCTTAGACTGTTCATTGCAATTGAATATTGTAAGTAATATTGTCAAGTTTTTAAACGATTTGTGAGAAGTAAGGTAGGTAGGTGGTATATCGAGGGAAAATTTATCGTCAGTTTTGTATTTTAATGGTCGTTGAAGGTTATATCATTGGATACGTTATTTCATCCGATAGGTTAATAAATGTGCAGTTTTTATTTTCATAGCACCCACGATATGCACTAAAATTATAAATTTACATCGTTCGTTTTCATACGGTAGATTTATGTTATTCATCGTTAAAGTAAAAAATAATGATAATGCGACATGAATATGTTTAGATTAAATATTTAAGCATTGGCTATGTTTTTTAAATTCTTATAAGTGTCACATTTATTTTTAACGTGACTCGGATAATTAAATAATTATTATTTTTAGATTTTTAACGCTGTAAATAATATAATCAGCTAAAATGGCAAGAGCTCCAAAACATAGGAGGATAAAACGAGCCACGGTTCTCATAAAAAGAACCCGTTGCATTAGGAATACAAAAAAAAAATCATACTCACCTTGTAAGTACGTTATGTATCGATGTGTGAATAATGTATGGTTGATGGAACGAATAGTTAATGTAACGATGTAATATTGTTTCAGTATTCCATAAGTTAAAAGTTAATAATCATTCGTTAGCGAGAGCTTTATCACAAGAGAAACAAGAAAGCCAGTTATTATTTTCAAGAAATGTTGAATTATTGGCCGAAGTGCAAGATTTAGTTCATGCTTGTAATAACCGTGATGTAAGTGAGCATATTGATATGAAATGTTATTACAAAATATATAAATACAAACTTTTCGTTATTATTCGATAGTCTACGTATATTGTGTCGATGTGTAATAAAACTTTATTACGTTAATTTCAGCTTGTAATAACAAACGTTTTAAAAAATTCTAAAGACATGATGCAAATGCTGGTAACAATGTCGGGTTATTTAACAAATACAATTTCTGCGTGCCAAGAATTTGTTTCAAATCAAGTAAATATTCATCGTACTTCGAGTAGCAGTACGGGACGTACGTTAAATAATTTCTGTACCATTCTCTCGCTTATTTTGTGCTTTACTACAATATTTATAATCGCTCTTTCAATTTTAGGAAGAGAATCGAGCAGAAGATTATCGACAAAATCTCCAGCAAGAGGCGTCGTTAAACCTATGGTCAGTGGACATACAATCACCAAACCCACTATCAATTTGAGTAGAGTGAATATGCAGCGACTGCAAAATGCTAATTTAAGTATAATAGAAGAGGGGCCATCAAGTCCCGAAAGAACTTTGGATAGATCAGTCGTAAGCTTGTTTATTATAAGTTATCGATAAATTGTAAAAAGCCAACTGGATAGTTGTATTAAACCTCTGTGTCCATTACAGGAAAATAGACGTTCACGAATAATGCCCGAAAGACTTCCAGTATCTGGTCTCAGAAACGAAGGTAATTTGAATATTACCTAATACACATTATAGCATAAAATAAGTAATTTAGAGAGTTTATGCATAACTTTATATGGTGATACTATATCATTGTAGTATAATAATTTAATTGTGTAATAAAAATCTTACAGATGACGAAGACCGCGTAATAGTAAATAGGAGAACGAGTAAATATTCCGCAGGAAGATTATCTTCAGGTCGGTATTCGAAACGAAATTCTGGTCGATTATCTGGAAGCGGAGTAGCTGGTAGATTATCCAAACGTAGTTCTGATTATTCGGAATTACTTAAAAGTCCCCGGGTAACTCTACAAGATGTTTCACGATACTTGATAAATAGTCAAACTGTGAACATAAGAATGGTAAATAGCCTTTTTTCAATTTAATTTTAATTTTCCGAAAAAATCTCTTCATTTTATGCAGTATTTTAAGCAATTAATAAGGATTATATTATTAAAGTTAGTATCGAGTCTTTTCTGGGTTCTTATAATATTATTCTTAGTATTAGTGATTCGGAAAATTAAACGGAAAGTTACTCCTTCTCTTCTTCTACTTTACAGTTTCAGAAAACTTAGTTTATTTTTTAACTCTAACATTATTAAAATATCTCTCTAAGTTGATAACTATAATATGTAGAATAAATGTATCTTGAAAGTTATGAGTTGCATAAAAAGTACACCCACATTCTTCGAAATTCACCTAAATGATTTTAAGAATGAACTAAATCGTGAATACCGTTGTTTTTTTGTATTTTTTTTTTATATATAATATTTTCAGTAAACACATTTAGTATACAGTGATCGTTCCATCAAGACTCGCGCAAGCATAATTTTGACTAAATTGATCTTCTTTTGGTCTAATTTTCAAAACACTACTAATTTCAATAAAATAATTTCAGCACATTGAAAAATTAAAAACCAGGCAAAACAGTTATTAATGAGAAACAGACGAGATTTTCAAAACGTCAATAAATATCTTAAACAATTTAACGTGTAAAATTAATCTTGACAGTTGTCGGAATCAGCGAACGGCAGTCAATCGAGCAATGCGATGAGCATCGACGATACGCAAGCATTGGAGGACCAGTCGAGTCCGGATAACTCGAGTCACGCGGTCGTTATACCGGAGACGCAGGATGCGTGTGATATCTCGGAGTCCGAGGAGCGCGACAGCAGCAACGCGGCCTCTTTAAGGAAATCGATCACGACCTCGAAGCGATCCTTGCGCAAGAAACCCAAGAGCCGATCGCCAGTCATCGACTCGCAATACATCGATCCACTGGAGGGTTCGAGCTGGATGCACAACTCGTCGATAAACACCGAGGAGGACCAGGAGCTTAACACAGCCACTCTTGTGAGCGCCGAGGACTTGACCGAGGAGGAACACGATCGGATAAACTCGCCGGTCTCGTCGTTGCCTGCCGAGCGCCGTAGGACCTCCAACTACTTTCGCGTGCCCGAATTGCCAAAATCTTTCAAGTCGGCGAATATGAGTAACGGGTAGGATAAGACTTGTTTACAATTTTTAATATCGCGCGATTACCGTAATCACTTTACAGTATTTTTCCTACAATATATTTTCAATATTTTTCACCTTGGCTCGAACGAGAAGTTTAATTTCCTCTTGCAAAGAAGCCCGAACGCTGCACGGCACTTAGTCACACAATGAGCGTACAGCTTTAAAAGATAAATGTGCTAACAAATGAAAATGAAAAGTAATCGCGATCGATCTCTCAGGTTCTTGGATAACGATAACGATGACGAGGACGATCACAGGATAAAATTGTGCTATATCACGCAGCGACGCGGCCTCTCGTCAAAAATGCACTCTACGAGCAGGAACGACGACGACGACGATGACGATGGCGATGGCGATGGCGATGGAGATGGCAATGAAGATGGTGATGGAGATGGCAATAGAGATGGCGATGAAGATGGGGATGGAGATGGAGATGGAGATGGAGTTGGAGATGGAGTGACTAGCGTTCCATGGCTACAAAGCTATATAACGTGTGTACGTACACGATGATGACGACGACGATGAAGAAGACGACGACGACGTCGACGTGGATGACGACGACGAAACGTTAATGCTAAACGTGCGCCGCCATCTGAACCAACTGCCGACACGGCAGTCAGAACAGCCGGAGAGGTTGCAGTTTGATGTGAACGAACTGCTCCAGCTGACGCCCCTTAAGCCTCTTTTGTCCATGAGCAGTAGGATAAATAACGGATCGGCTCAAGTGGATGTGGAACTCGAGCCCACCGCTACCATTCAAATTACCCAGAGGTTGCATTGCATACCCATATTTTATCGTGACAATTTTTTTTTTTCTTAAAATTTTCATTTTTATAATCGAATCAATATAATCAATTTGTATTTTCAAACGTACTGTAATTCGTCATCCGAGAAATCGTTGAGATTTGCATTTATCTGTCGGTCGCATATTAAATTAGCAAGATTTAGGAAATCGATAAATTTTACTCAGCTTTCTCGTAAGTGCAGACTTTTTCGAAAAGCTACATTTTATATTTATACAGTCATATTCTTATGTCTTTTGTTTTTCTTGACGGTGATTGATACTTTATAATCCGTAGGTGTCCGAAGCCAGCGGAGAGTACGGACACGTTCAGTCAGATGCTGACTATGAAGATTCATCAGAACGGCCCACCCGAACTTCCGACTGTTGTGCCGTCGAGAAACCAGGAACAGCCAAGTAACAGCGGCCAGGACAGACGAATAAGTGAAATGACGACAATGAGGCTGAGCTCGAGGATCGAATTGCCTCGACTGACCGATGTCATCGATACGCCTGAGGACAATGAACATCGAATAAACACGACTGTTACTCCTGAGAATGAAAAGCATATCGAGGTGAGTTTCTAATTTACACAGCCTATTGTCAAATCAAATTTATTGTCAAATTGCATTTTATGGGAGCATTTGAAAATACTTTGCCATCCGTAGAAACGCAAGAGGATTGCTTTGAGACCCATTACGCCGTCGTATTTCGCAAGCGATAACAGCGGCAGGGAATCGCCGATTAGGAAAAGGAAAATCAAGCAGCGAAAAAAAAAGTCAAACGATAAGGACCCGAGTACAGCGAAGGTTGTATTGCAAAAGCTCAACGATACGCATCGAGGGTCGTCGCAAGACGATACTACTGTGAGCTTGGAACGTAAAAATCCTGATGAGCTAATTCCTTCCACGTGAGTGAAAATTCCTTGCTGTTTATACTATTCTCCAGCCACTGCAGTCTAAAGTAATTATAAACGAGACCTAAGTTATTGGGATAGATTTTTCAACAAATTATTACGAACTTTGTCATTGCTGATTAAGAAACCAATGTGAATTATTACAGAATTAGACATTAAGAAACATTAAGAAAACATTTAATATAAATTAGTCATAAAAACATATTTAAATATTTAAATGAAATCCATATTATCGTTGAAGATTTTATTTCTAATTACGTGTATATCTAATTGTGCATCGTTATATTTGCTCATTTGGTAATGCATAAAAGAATTGGAATTTACATAATTATCAATTTATCATCGGGCCATGGCTAGGACAAATTATCAATATTAATAAATTATTAGTGTATCGATAATAATATTTCGTATTGATTTTTATTCAACATAGTCATTTATGTTGCAGAAAAAATTCTATGTTATCTCGAGCTGATCACTCGGGTGATTCAGAAAGCAGTACTGCCAGTTGTAATGGTAAATCAACTATAATGAGACCGAGACGTCAAAAAGCACCAAAGAATTTGCAAGAGCCAAATTTAAATAAGTAAGCATTATATTATTTGTAGTTAAGATTATTATTAAACTCTATTAACGAATTTGTTCTTTATTATTATTATTATTATTATTATTATTACTTTTCTTTTGTTTTTCAGAAAATTGAGAAGATAGGAATTAAATAGGAAACGAAAATTAGATCGAAACAACTCCGGAAGTTGTAATGTGACTATGGTTCATGAAGTTTCTCTGTTCCTTGTTTAATGAGCAGTTTTTGGTAATCTGCATTCTCTATCTGTATCTGATGTTCTGCACACTGACCTTTATTCGCTATATTTCTCAAGTTCCCTAATGCTAGGTACCTATCCATTTTTTGAACGATTGGCCATTAAAGTCTGAGCCTTATCTAGGGACAAATGTTGTATAAGCGAAGAGAGCTCCTACTGTCGAAACAAAAAGAATACCTACTACTTCTTCTACTGCTAGTATTTCCTGCGACTTGCCGACTGCTCCTTAATACTACGTATATCAAAATTTACCAAGGTCATCCGTTCTTCATTAGATGCCAATCTTAGCTCACGTTACTTAACTCCGTAATAGAATAGTCGGGTAAAGTTGTTAATGTGATATTCCTTTGGTAATATTGACCTTAAATCTATGTAATGGGGGTTTTTAATAACGGGTTGAATGACTTATAAAATTGGCAAGATCAGTTCTTTTTGAAGCATTGCTCTTCCCAATAGTTATAAACAATAAGTGAATAAATGGCAACATAAAATGTTTTGAAGTAGAATGGGAATTAGTATAAACCAACCTAGCCCGGTCAAGAACTGTATATGTATATTTCATAATTGCTAGTGTTTAAACAATGTTAAAATTTGACTTCATATTGATACATACTTAAGCTGTTAATATTGATCATCATCGTTATACGCTTTTCAAAATAATTTTTCTTGTGAATAAATAAAGTTGTTCTATTTAGTAAATATGTTATAATGTCAAGATTTTCAAGTTTTAAATATTTCTCGTAGATCTTTTATAATAATAGATGATAATAATTTGTTAAAATTACATGTAATTAATGAACACTTAGAATGTTAGGAATAAGTGCCAAATTTGTATTTGAACAAAAAAAAAGTTAACTTTTTAAAAAAAAATTTTGTACATGTATATACATTCTTTATTATTTTTATTAATTTATGTAATTATTAATTAACTAGACATGAGAATATTTTTAATAACCTTTACAATTACCTATCATGAATGTATATATATATATATGTGTGTGTGTGTGTGTGTTCGTGGGTGTTCGTGTGGGTGTGGGTGTGTGCGCATGCGCGCGCGCGCGTGTGTGTATATGCATATGCATATGCATATATATATATATATATATATATATATGATATGATATATGTTTTAGAAATATAAATGAAAATTGTTTATGTTCTATTCCACATTCAATGGTGTTACTTAATTTCTTTCTTTAATTACTCGAAATTTGTACAATATAATGCTATTAATAAAATTATTGAAAAAGTGATGATGACGTAATTTTGTTTTTTTTTTTCAATTTAAAATTATTTTACAGTAATATTTTTTTGATCTTTTATCTTTTGTACAAAATCAAATTTTTCAAAATATTTGAAAGTTATACATATTCATCGAATGCAATATTTTGTAAATTATATATTACTGGGCACATTAAAAATTATTAACTATTTAGAAAGAATTTAAATTTGAAAAAGTTTTCACTACATTTACTTTTTCATAATTTTAGTAACAATCTTATTATGAACATTATATTTATTTTGTATATTTAAAGTAATTATAAAAGTTTTATTTATGATAATTTTCTCTATAAACATTTAATTACTAATTATATATATATATATATATATATATATATATATATTTTTTTTTAATTCTTTTTTATATAAGTTTTATACAGAGATTATATAGTTAAAAACTACTCTGTATGTATATGTATATAAAAGAAAAAGAAAAATAAAAAAAAACTTCTGTACTTTTGCAATGCCGCTTACTTTATTCTTCCTATTTAGATATTTGCTTAATAATATTATAAATTATAATATATTATTGTAAATACAAATTTTAACAAAGCATATATGTAATTTTTTACTTATTTATACATCTAATATATTTAATATAATATCTTTAGTAGAGTATGATTTTTCAAAAGTACGTCTCGGAATTTTAATATTAAATGGATATTGTATAAAGAATGGATTTTGTTGATTACGATTTCTTAATTACTATGGCCTTTGAATGCAGCTTTTATGTTTATGAACCTTAGTTTAGTTTATTGGTGTTTTAGAGTAAGTTTTCATAAAGCTAGAGTTTACTATAATAAACATAGAAAAAGAATTAAAAAAAAATATTTTGATCTTACAGGTTCATTCAAATCCACCAATTATTTTCCAATACCAAAAATAATACTGTTACTTAAAGTGAAGATATAAAAATTTATAAGAATTTTTCTTAAATATTTAAAAATATTCAGTGTGCGTGTGTGCTTATACGCGTAATTTTATAAATTATAATTTACAAGACATTATTGCTTGTATGAGAGTTATATTTCCAATGTTTCTTAATGATTATCTTTATCATTGTTAGATGACGGAAGGGTTCGAGAGACTTTTTCTTTTTAATTGTCTGCTTGGTACTAAATTGCAAAGGATTGATTTAATCGATAGTTAAGGTATTGGAGAAATTTATTTGCAAGATCGATGTTCATATTAAAAACATGTGTTAATAATAAATCTAAAAGCACGAAATTATATAAAATTGTGTGATAATAGAAATTAAGGTAAGTTTACTCTCTCTCTCTCTCTCTCTCTCTCTCTCTCTCTCTCTCTCTTTAACTAACGTTCTGTAACATACTTACAGGGTGTAAGCATTGTTTAGCGAATCATTACATCGTTTGTCATTAAGTAAACTTTATTATATCATGGTAGTATTAAGAAATCAATCATTTGCAATCTTTTTGCTGATTGCGTCGAAACGATTTTTTGCATACATTATACTGTTATGAAGATTGAGATGAATTTTTTTTTATTTTCTCCTTTTTCATTATTGTTAAGTACACCCTTCGTAAAATATTGTTTACGCAGTTTATTGTTTCGTTAATCGATTAACAATGAACGATGAAATAATTTAGGGCTTATTCGAATTCAAGAATATTCGCATCAATTGCCTTCAAATGCGATAAGAGGGAAGAATTCGTTATTTCATTTGCTTTTATACATAGGTGGGGGGCGGGGGAGGAGGAAAAAGGAAAATTTTAGTTAAATAAGACACGCATCGATTTACATGTAAATTGTGCTGTAAATCATAAAGATGGTATTTAAAAAAAATTGTCTGTCTGTTATTTATTTTTTGTTTGTTGTTTTTCTTACCGAATCACAGGACCATACTACATCGGTCGTGTATCATTAATTTCAATTCACGCCCAACTTCCCCTGTATTTCGGACGAAAAGATGTTTGCAGTTAAATAACACGGGACCGTGGTTGTTCTCGTTGTTCGTCGTTCTGCAACGAAATTGACAACGAATTGACGGAACGTTAAATACCCCCCTTATCGAAAAATTTCTACATGGGGGAACATTTTTCAATTCGCCCACAACATCGCATTCTTCTCCAGCTTATTTCCTGAATTTCTTACTATGCCTCCTCAATAACCACATCACGCTCGTCTCACAGCTTAGTCTCGTTTACGTAAGGATGATATAACTACTGGGCTCGAGACAAGATGCACTGATGATTGTAAGAAGTTGCCAATCAATGATGAGGGGTTGGTGGGGTTGGTGGGGTTTGTAGGGGTTGGTGGGGTTTGTAGGGGTTGGAGGGATTGGTGGGATTGGAGGGGTTGGTGGGGTTGAAGGGGTTGGATGGGGGGTGGGGGGTGGGGGGGGGGGGGACGAGGACGAGGAACAACGAGATTCACGAGGAGGGAGCGAAAGGCAAATCAAAACTTGGGC